TAAATCTACCACAACGTTTCACAGCTACGATCAGTGCGAAGCTTCGCCGCCATGTTTTTTCAGCGGTTTCCCATAACATACGTATTGCAGGCGCAAGAGTCCATGTGCGTTCTTTCGCGATAAATATTTATTCAGGTGATTTGGTGTCCAAAGCTGTTCTGAAATCTTTCCCTAATTTATTACAAGGTGGAGACGGAACATCCGTGAAGAAATTAGTTGAAGATTTAGATATTCTCTGGGCGTCAAAGGTGGAAATGTAGATCTGTCAAAGTAGTCAAAAGATGATTTGCCCACTGGTTTGATTCCTGATTACATCAATTGCAAATATTTTGCCGGCAAGCCCATGGCGCCCCAAAATTTTGGTTTCTGTTTCGCTGTGAAGGAAAAATTTTATGGACACTTTTTGGCGACCACATTATTCCATATGGCGACTGAAAAAAAAAATTTCAGTCGCCAGTTGGTGCCTGCCTTAAAAAGTTAATTTCGGACCTGGGTCAATAATAAATATGTTCAATTATTGATTTCTTCTGTAACTAAAATGTTGTAGCTGGTAAACTTTAATTTTTGTCTTTAACTTTTGCCACCCTGAACTTGCCAATGTTACAGTACCGGTCAAAGGGACTGCAGCATTACACGCATGTATAGCGTGTGTACTACATGCACATTACACGCAGTGTCCACGCAGTGCCCACGCACCTTATAAGCAAATGCGTGTAATTGCACGCACATAATTTCACACAGTAGACGTGATATTGCATGTAAAATTACATGCCGTCGTTCAACTGGAACTCATTAAGTGCGTGTAATGACAACAAAATATTAAAGTGCGTGTAATGAAAACAAAACATTTACCGTGTAACATTTACTGTACTGGACTGCACTGCGATATGGTTTAGTCTTTCGCCTTCTTACTTCTGGTCATCAAACGTTTCCGATAGAATAGACCAGTTTCCTTTAACTGGCTTACCGCTTTACAGTAAGAGCATTTTTGTGCGTTGTACATGTAGTTTCACCAAGCGGTGCCAGCGACTGACAGGCGTGCTAGGATTCACTGAGATAACAGAACATAAACACATAATTTTGCTTTCAATTTTAAACTACAGCAATCAGTATACTTTAAAACAAGTTGAAGATTCATTCAAAATATTTCGTACTCCGAAGCGTTCGGAGTTTACCGGTGTTCAAAAGCTTTTCCCGTCGTGTTTTTTCTTTTCGTGAGAAACAACAAGGGTGCCAGTGACTAACGAACTGAGGCTTGACAAACTGAAGCTTGACGGACAGGAAATAACAGCAAAACACATTATTTTGCTTGAGATTTTCAATTCATTTTTAAACATCAGTTATCTTCTTTAAGTTTAAAAAGCCTTTGAAGATTCGCACTCAGAAGCGAATGTTGTCTACGTGAAAGCATATCGTTTTGATCTGATTGAAATGAAATTTGATCTGTTTCTTGAACATTGTTGCCTAGCACATGACCAAAATCTTCCCAAAGCAACAATCTGTCAGTGCGACTCAACCCAGGGATGAAAATCTGATGAATCGAAAATTAACAAACGTTTAGATTTTGTTAAAAAAAGTTTCAATTCTTCGCCGTTTAAGCAGCAGTGTGGCCAATAAGCAGATTAAGAGAGAGTCCGGAAGTTTCTGTTTGAATCCCAATTTCATTGTTATCGAAGGAACAGGAGTTGAAATGACATTTCGTGCGTGGGTAAACATCACGTTGCGACGCACGTCATAAACAAAAACTCATAGATCTTTAAGAATTAAGTTTAGATGTTAAGCAGAAGTGCGGACTGCTACAGACTAAAAAATAGTATTTGTTTGATAGGTGCTCGAGCTAGTCCACTAATTTAGCAATGCTTGTCGGCTTTTAAATTTACTTTTTGTTGTGAACATTGAGAGTCGCGGGTTTCGAATACAAGTTAGTAGTGGCTTTTTGTTATGCAAAATACACGCAACTGCGTGTATGAATAACAAAGGTTTTTTCCTCTGATTAAAATAAACGCATTTGTGTAAAATTACACGCAAATACGTGTAACTAACAGATGAGTAAATTTTACACGCATGTAATTACACGCACTGTCCACGCACTGTCCACGAATACTACACGCAGACTACACACATTTTACGCACGTGTAGGTGCTGCAATCCCTTTGACCGGTACTGTAATAATGACTATTTACCTTTGCAGAAAGAACTGCATTTTTTGCAAGTGCCCATTAGAATGCCATGACATTCCACTCAATACCAGTTACAACAATTTACCAGAAGACCGAATGGGTGTCGAAGAAACACCACCAAGGTCATCGTTGACAAAAGTGAAGGAAGCTAATGTCGAGGGATTTGAGTGGGTACCTGCCGGCCTGACAAGTTATCAGGTATGACAGATTTCGTACGTTCTGCTTGGGTGTCAAAGGACCCATACATAGCTCATCAGAGGCAGTGCTATAGTGGTTTCCATAGCAACATTGAGCGACTAATTGTTCTTGTAGCTATTATTCCTATGCCTGACTGGTTACACATGCCTGTCTGCCACCAATTAACTTCCAATATCTTCCTGCGTGTTTTCCCTAAGGGTTTGCCAGTACATTTCTTGACTTCATTATTTATTTTTATTACCTCATCAATTAAGACCAAATAAGAGAGGAGAAATTTACATTGTAGAATGACTGAGGAAGACTCAAAAGAAATGTTTGTAGCGTGTTGGGTGATTAAAATACACGATTTGACTGATCATGAGACCTTGAGCTACTGTTATTCTTTTAATTCCAAGCTTTCACGGATCTATGGCATCGTCAGGGAATGCCATAGATCGGAACATGAGGTATTCCCTGACAATGCCATAGATTGGGGAAAGCTTGGAATCAAAAGAATAACAGTAGCTCAAGGCCTCAGTTGAATCGTTTTTTTAACAACTCAAAAGAAACTGTGGAACTTGTACAGTGGTGAATCTGGGAGAGGGACCTGGCAGCTCCCCCTTATTTTGGGTAAAAAAAAAACAAAAATCGCAGAAGGAAGAAAAGCTGGATCCCCCCNTAGATGTTAAGCAGAAGTGCGGACTGCTACAGACTAAAAAATAGTATTTGTTTGATAGGTGCTCGAGCTAGTCCACTAATTTAGCAATGCTTGATGGCTTTTAAATTTACTTTTTGTTGTAAACATTGAGGGTCGTGGGTTTCGAATACAAGTTAGTAGTGGCTTTTTGTTATGCAAAATACACGCAACTGCATGTGTGAATAACAAAGGTTTCTTCCTCCAATTAAAATACACGCATTTGTGCAAAATTACACGCAAATATGTGTAACTAACAGATCAGTAAATTTTACACACGTGTAATTACATGCACTGTCCACGCACTGTCCACGCACAGTCCACGCACAGTCCACACACTGTCCACGAATACTACATGCAGACTACATGCATTTTACGCAAGTGTAGGTGTTGCAATCCCTTTGACCGGTACTGTAAATAGAAAACCTGATAGCAAAGTTACAAAACTCAAATCAAAATTCTTGTATATCCTGGGTTAGCTTGGCTTTGAACAACCTGGCACTTGGCTTAACCTATAATTATATTATTTTATCAATCTAACATCTAATTTACGGACCTCTTCAAAGTTGAGCTTGCTGCACGACACACATCAATTTTGATCTACTTTCATCTGCATGATGCAAACACCTGCCTGATCAATCTATATCCTGCTTCCATGGTGGCCTTGTGCTTGATTTATGAATTAGAAAAGTTAACAGATCAGCGATTTCAACAGAAGTTTTTGCTGTCTCCCCCCTCTGGAAATTCAGAGCTGAAACTCCCCCATGCTTTTGGAATTGCAAAATGTGTTACCACCCATGCCTTCAGAATTCAAGCCCAAGAAACCCCCCTCTCCCTCGAAATTCTAAGATGCTGCCCATTGTGTGGGTATGGATATTTTCTGGAATCACCCAATCTGGTTAACCAGTAATTAGCATACATGTTATGTACTTTACATACACAAATTATCTGATTATACAGTCCACTTGATAAGTTATTGGTTAATTTTTGACAAATTTTGAGAATTTTCTGATGGCTTTCACTGCAGATATCCTATCAGAATGCAAAAACTATTTGATGGGAAGCTGTATTGTATGAACTATATTTAATAGCAACTGAGTGAGCTGTAGACTCCCTCTAAACTGCCAAGCATGTACAATTGTGTGTAACAATAACACATGATGACACAACTCATGCTGGCATTATCAAATTGGATTTTATGAGATGATCTCTACAAGATGATCTCTTTGAAGATTTCAAAGATCTGGGTGAAAGGGTAAGTTCAACCACAAATAAAGCAAGTATACCATGTACCTTTCTTACGTATTGAGTTTCGCTGTGCTTGTGTTGCAGACACTTCTATTACTTGCAACTCAAGGGGCAAATTCTTGAAGGAAGCCTTTCATGTGAAAAAGACACTGCTGTTCTACTTGCCTCTTACTCAGTGCAAGGTGATAAGAATTCCATCCTTATCTCCTATCTTTCCCATCCATTTTATCTCTCCAGTGTATGGTGTTTTAGCATGCATAACTTAAAACATTGTGATAAACTATTTAATATGTTTGCAGTGGTGGATCTGGGTAAAAAAATCGCAGAAGGAAGAAAAGCAGGCAGGGTAAGCAAACCCCCCCCCCCCCCCCCCCCCCCCCCCCCCCCCCCCCCCCCCCCC